CCTTGGCCGGGAGCGGGGAAGGCGGTAGCAGCGTCCTGGGGAGCAGTTGGCAGAGGAGCGCGGCTGATCGGGGCTAAAGAGTGGGGCCCTGGCTGCACCAGCCGCCCGCTGAGGTGAGGGGAGGTGTTCTGATCATTTCAGCCGTGTGTTAAAGGCTTATATTGGCAGCCTCTGTGTGCTGGCCTTGCGTGTTGTAGCCCGCCTAGGGAAGGGTCTCAGGTATGCGTTTATTAAGGAGGAGAGAGTTTGGTATTAGTAATAGAAAGTTTCACGTTATTCCGATGCTATCCATTTGCCGCTGAAACCTCTGAAAAGACTTAACTAGAAACTGGATTAAGTGTTAAGGCCTGAGGTCGCCTGCGAGCTCAGCTGGTAAATCCCTGGAAAAGCACGGTGGGTGCTCAGGACACGTTTCAAGGCTTTAAGTACATTATGAAGTTACTGGGGGCTGAAAACGCAAAAATATTTACATTGAAGAATATATTAAAATTGTCTGGGGAGGATTAGTAACATCCCGTAAAATTAAGAGCTCAAATAATGCAATGGGTGGCAATAAAGTATATTATAATGACCAAAATAAAATGACAGACTAGGCACATTGCTAGGTAGCAGTGACGTAAAAATATTATTTTAATATTTTTAAATATTAAGAAGGCCGTTGAGAATAGAAAGAGAGTTGTTCTTTGAGTAATAAAGTTCACACAGAAATGCTCTTTAAGCTTTTGTGAGTTGCCTGGGTTTTGTAAACATCCAGGTAGCTTAGTTATCTAGATGTTATGTGATGTAGCAGGGGTCAAATGGAAAATGAAAGGTGGTGATGTCTGTATAAATATGAAACTTGGATGTTTTGATGAATAGTTAGCTAATTATCTAGGTACAGAGGTAGTTGACACTCAGAGTGATCATGTAAGCAGGTTTAGGCACATGGAATTACTTAAAGCTATAAAGATAATGACTGCTGCTGTGCTATATCACATGGATAACCAAGCTTAATTTTATTTGTAATTCATGGTCCAGCCTACGTAAAACTTTGTACGTACTTAACGTTACTGAAATGTTTAACTTAAAACTTTCTTGCTAAAAACCAATTATATTATAGTATCTAGGGGTAAAAAGCCAGGGAACTAGCCTAATGTAGACACTAGAAAGAAAGAAATGGTGTTGTGTATGTAGTGACTGTGATATAAACAGGCATGGTGGTTGGATCAGTTGTGCATATCCCAGGCATTGGGTTAGAGCATAACAGTCACAGTGGGGCAGGAGCTCCTCTGGTGAGAATAGTCACAGAAAATGTAATGTATCATGGGCATCTGTGCTTGGTACGTGGTGGGCCCAGACTTGCTCTGTATTAGCTGCAGTTTTCTATGTATGTGCCCGAGTAGTAGCTGAGGATTTCCTGACTTATTAAGAGGAGCCTGATACTGCTTGAGAAATTGCTTCCCTGTACCTAAAATGTGGATTGTTTCCTGTTTGTAATACTGTCTGCTGCAAATATGGGTAGTAGAGTACAGTGTACACTTCTTAAATATGCATTTTTCCTGGTATTTTTACGATGTAGTCTTTATCATGTCTGTTTGTTTAGGTTGTTCTCATTCCTGTATTGGCATTTTTTAATAGTGTGATCATTCTTCAGTCTGTTTTTACTTCACGTGTTTTAATACTGCAGTCTTCAGTTTATAACAGTTTTCAATGCCAGAAGAACAAAGTCAAACTCTAATGGCAGTTGAAGAACTTCAAGGCATAATACGAAGATGCGTAAGTAGTTTTCTTTCCGTAAAAGTAGTGTAAGTAGTGTGTGTTTCTCTTTGTATGTTATAATTAAAACTAGAATGACCCCAAAACACAATACAATTGTTAGCAGAATGCCTCATTGGGCAGCTAAGTTCAGCCTCCATGTTTCATTGACTTTTCTGTGGTGCTTATCCCAAGATGCTTCATAACATCTGCTTCTTGGAGAAATAAGTGTTCTTGTACTCTACTCACCTGTAGAAAATGCATCTTCCAAACAGCATGCTGCTGTTGAAACACTGCTTTGCCTCCTGCAGTAGCTCTTGGTAGCTTTTTCAATATGTGAAAGATCTTGTATAAGAAAATACAAGTTACCATGACACTACATTTAGTTTTTGAAACGAAAGCTTGGATTTTTGTATCTTTTATTTGCCTTTTATAAGTATGGAGTTGAAGATGCATGTTTTCTTTCTAGCAAATTCTGGAAGAAGCCGATTTCCAAGGAGAAGATTTTAATCTGTTTCAGGTAGCAGGTCAGAAATGCTTAGAAGATGGGTATGCAGCTCAGTTATTAGAAGTAATTCAAAATGAGAAAAATAAGGTGAGTTTAAGTGTGCACTATATATTAGTTGTGCTCTAACACACTGCTAAATAGATAAAACTTCTTATTAAAAGGGGAAAGCTACTTTCACTGTGGAGCAAGGCTGTACGTGTGACTGGGTTAAGCACACATTCTTGTGTAACTTCAGGTAGCTCACAGAAACCAAGTCATGGTAGTCTTAGCAAAACCATTAACAGCTGTTTTTCAGTGTGTTAAGCAGCGAGAAAAGAGTGGACAAAAGCATAATTAAGAGAAAGTGACAGTGTCCCTCTTTTGCAGGACAGGATCTCAGATGGTGTATGAGGCCTGGCTGCATGGAGTTTATTTTCTTCATGGCAGCCCATATGGTGTTGTGTTTTAGATTTATTACCAAAACAGTGTTGATAACAGACCAGTTTTTCAGCTATTGCTGAACAGTGCTTGCATAGTACCAAGTCCTTCTCCATTTCTCACTGCCCCTTCAGTAAGCAGGGAAGCTGGGAGGGGACACAGCTGGGACAGCTGGCCTGACCTGACGAAGGAAATGTTCCATGCCATGTAACATCATGCTCAGCAATAAAAACACACGGGCATGGGGACCTGTTCCAGAGTAGATGTTGCTTGGAGTCTGGCTGGGCATTGGTCTGCTGATGGGAGTTGGTTTGTGTCACTCCTACCTTCCCCTTTTGTCCTTCACTTATTAAATTGTCCTTATCTTGAGCCATGAGTTATTCTCTGTTTTGCTTTTCTGATTCTCTTTCCCCATCCCACTGGGATGAGAGTGAACAGCCAGCTGGTAGGTGCTTAGTTGCTGTCCAGGGTCAACCCACCACAGATGGATATAATAATATGGGCCAAAACTATAAGAGCCAACTCAGCTGATGCTAATGTCTGTAGGCACTCTGGGGAGCTGGGAGAATATACTCATTTGTGCACAGATATATAGGAAGTTCTGTTCTGGGGTTAGAAAATGCCCAGTTTTTGATTATTCTCTGAAAATCTGGTTTTTTAGGTTATCATCAAGAATATGGGTTGGAATCTCATCTCTCCTCTTGTCAGATGTATTTTCATGTATGAACAGGAAGATGATAAGCGAGAACACTGCCTGAAGATACTAGAGCAGTTGGCACAGGTGTGTTTTTGAAAATATATGGTTATACTACAATAATTAGAGGGAAGGGAGAGGTCTTCGTTTTCCCTCTGATTTCCAAAACAGGACATGATTACTTCTGGGTTCTTCTGTCGACTTCCCATAACTTTAAAATTCAATGGGCCAGTTTCATCTGAAGCAGACACAGGCTTAGTGCTCTCAGAGACAATCAACCTCTTACGAATCTTGTGAAATTAGTAACTAGGCGCAACAAAAAGACATGGCATTACTCAGAAGAAAAAGGCAGATAGAACTCATAAAGTTTTTGATAGCTGACTGCTGCAGTCAGAGCAGCCACAGCAATACTGCCTCTTGCCTACTGAGATACGGTGTGACGACGAGTACCTGATGTTTCTGATGGAGTAGCAGGGGAAAAAAGTTTTAATCTGCAGAACGCTTTCATTCATGTGCTTAAAAAAAAACTTGCAAACTCCATATCTTGAGTTAAATTCACCCTGAAGTTTGTTGGTTTTTTTATCTCCGCTCTTAAGGATTACTTTGCTAACATACTGTGGGGTTTGAATAGACCTTAGGAATCAAGTTTAGGGTCATTATTTATTATTATTTGTTTTCAGCTTACATGAAAATGTAGACACGCATACATGCTACAGAAGATGTTTGTAGGGAAGTACTTGCTGTTTCATATTTCTTTTCTTAAAGATCATCTTGGATGTTGAGATGTGCTTTCTTGATATTCAAGAGCTTCTGTATTGAAGTTTGCTTGGGATGAATTTTTTAGCTTATGACCATGGCGATTAAAAAATAGGCTTTGTTCCTCTCCTGCAGCTGTGCAATCCAAAGGAACTTTTTTTGGGCTTACTGGAGCAAATTGAGCAGGCCTCTGGAGAGCAAGTATGCCAAACTGTCATGTTACTCCTGCAGCCTTTGCAGACAGGTAGGAGGCACTTTCTCATGTGACTTCTGAATTAAATAATTTTCGCATTTATTTATGAAATTAGTTCTTTGCTGGAATAGTTTCAGAATATGTCTGGCCTGACAGGCTTTACAGTCTATTATGTTATACAAAATAACACAAGGTATCATTTTCATGCTTATATTGGCCTGTTAGGAAAAGATTTTAGATGGGATTAATAGCATCAGTTGAAAAAGCAATACTCGACTGTTTTTCATCACTTACAAGAATGTGGTCCTGTGACAGTTATATTTAGAGGTGTAAACCATTCATACTGTTGTTACAGAAGTAGAGAATTACATGGATTTGTGAATTTCTTCATTATTTAACTTTTAAAACGTACAATTCCCTATTTTCATAGTATCAAACTTTCATTTGAAATTGAAGCAGGTTGAACTGTTTGGTTGGTGGGAGGGCACATTCTTCTGGCTGACACAGGAAAACTAAAATGTTGGTTTTGGACACCCACTAAGTAGATAACAAATAATGGTTTCTGTTTTGATACGTGAGATGAAATCAAGTGTCTTTTATCAAGTTTAGGTCTGGCTGTAGTAGTCTCCGAGATGTTACTGAATTATGTTAGAATTGAACAAGAGAAGCATTTTGGCCATTAAAGTATGTGGTTTTTTGGCTAGCCAGTCTGCAGTCACCCTGCACTGAGTGAAGTTTACATGGGGAGCCACTCGTGCTGCTTCCTCAGTCTGGGAAGCCCCTCTGTTGGTCCTGCTGTGGAGCATCCAACTGTTCTGAGCTGCTTCAGGTAGAGTCAGATGTCAGCAGAAAGGTTGGGCCATTGCCTTTGGTTTTGCCAAGCACAGGAGGAGTCAAGCAATGAAGCAAGGATAAATCAGATTTCCAGGTCAGATAAATGAATATTATTTCACTTAGACTGGTTCTACAGAGACAGATTTTTTTTTTACTTTTTTTTTTCAGTCCTCATCATGGTGCTACAGAGAAAGGAAGAATGCTTTGAAATGCATGACTGCTTTAATGTTAATGTCTCAAAATGTTCTCTCTCCCTCTCTCCTTCTTTCTCTTTTTCTTTCCCCTCAGTGCTTTTGAAACTTCAGAACAAGAAGGCCTACTCAGTGGGTTTGTCTTTGGCCATGATTATGAACCAGCTTACTCCCTTACCTGTACCTTATACAAAACAACAAATACAAGAAGATAAACTTGGTCTCTGTCGGTGTTGCAATGCAGTGGTGGACTTTGCTAAACCTTTTGTGAACGAAGTTGTGAAAAATATGGAAAAGTCATCAGAATACAATGACATGGAGCTGAAAGAAGAATTATTAAAATTGTGAGTGTTTTGTATTAGTGTAATATATTCCTGTAGCTTAACCAAACGAACAGTGGGCATTTATTACATAGGCAGAAAACAAATCATCTTATTAGTGTTTTATAATGCTGCCAAATTACATTAACTAATGTGGTATTTTGAAAAAGGAAAACCCTAAATATGACTGAAATATTTATGAAGTGAGAGAAGAAAGGTAACTTTTTAGTTTTTTAAATTTTTTTTAGTACAGGGAAATGGTAAAGGAATTTTAGTCTCTGTGCTGTGAAGCTCTTTTGGTGTTCTGCTTCTCCAGCTTACAACAGTGAGGATAATCATACTCTAGAGTTGAAGCCTAAAGAATGCTTCTATAGGAGATGTTCTTGTTATTTATTCTTCTTGGACTATCAGGAATAGCAGCAGCTAATACGAGTATAGACTCTATTTTTGGTCATCTATGACAACATTATAGTCTGTATTTGTGACCTTATTGGTGACTTAGTTTTACCCCTTTTTATTTCAGCTGTATGAAAAGCCTGAAATACCCATTACTGACAGCTCAGGTTGAGCAAGTTGAAGGCATTGAAGAACATCCCTTTCGGCATTTTGCAACTGAAATTATAGTAAGTGCAGTCAAAATAAATTAAGAGTGTTTGCAAAACCATTGGTCTAGTTCAGAATCACCTCTGATTTAATCACTAATCACCTAGAGCTCATTTTGCTTCCTTTATTGGTTAGCAGGGACTTACTGGGCCCTGTAAAATCATGGAGGTAAATAAGTTCTAGAACAGTTCCAGGTCCCATCTCTGCAAATTATGAATCTTGCAGACACAGTTTTGCTCCTTACAAACCAGTTTGGACTGCTCTCTGAATCTGCAGCTGCTACTTTGCTGTAACTGCTTCTTTTTCTTGGTAATGTATGAATTTATTAGAATATCTAAAGGATTGTCTTTGCTGCAGTCAAGGCAAAATCTACATGTTCCTTTTAATACGAGTGTTGCACAGAGAGAAATCTCTAATGTGCTTAGTGCAGCGCCAGCTGACTTAAAGAATATAAATTGATGCTTGACTGCTGCAGATGGTAGCTGGAAATTGTCCACTCCATGCTACCAATGCAGTTATTCTGGTTTTGAATGTTTCATGTAGCAGCTGTGTTTTATTAGAGCAAGATTATTGTGGGTATAGATAATTTTAGTTAAATTTGCAGCAAAACCAAGCCTTGTAAGGAGATAGTCATGTCCAGTCCATGTGTATGTTGGAATACACAATATGTGTATGTCTTCAAATAGGGCTGGGTGTGATTCATAAAGTAGTAGACAAGCAGACAACAGCAAATAGAGCTGTGCTTTGTTCATGTTTTGAATGTGGTGAAGAGTATTTCCTCTCTTGCACATGTCCAAATGTAGTGGCTTGACCCTAGCTGGCAGCTAAGCCCCTACTCAGT